CCTCACCCCCATCTGCACGTCAGTCCCGCCACGCAGGAGAGGGGTGGCGGGCATGCAGCTTCCCTCCCGTGAGGGCCCCTCGCCCCAAGCTCTGCCCCGGGGCAGCCCTGCACACGCACCTCTCCGCCGAAGACCTGGCCTGCCGTCCGCTCCGGGAGCAGGACTCAGCAGGGACCCTGGGGAGGGTTTGCCTGAGTCCGGAGCAGCTGGGAGCGCCCCTCTGCCAGGGTGCCCTGGGTTTCGCTGCGTCGAAAGCCACCTGTCCGTGGCATGACAACCCGCTTACTTCTTAGAGTCCAGTGCCTGGTTGGTCGGGCGGCTCTCCAAGCAGTGATCGGGGACCCCAGCTGCTCCTTCTCGTGACACCGCCACCCTCGACACACATGGCCCTGAGGTCTGCGGGGAAGGCAGTGAGCGAGCAGAGCGAGGAGGGTGAGGTTTCATGAGGGCCAAGTCTGGCGGTGGCTTCTCCCCGAACCCTCGCCAGCACCGGCCCCAGGGCTCCAGCTAGGAGCAGGGAAAGGGGGAAATGCAGGCTTCCTTTGTGCCCTGGGGGATGGGATGTGAGTTGGGTTAACACGGCCGGTCTCTGTCACAGCAGGGCTTGTGGCCACCAAATGCAGATTTCACTCTTCTACACATAGAGTGTGCCCCTACCCCCGAGGGCGGCATCCTAGGGTCGCACACAGAACCACCAGAGAGCGTATGTGGGGGTAATTTGTTACACAGCAGTAGAGAACAAGCACACACAGAATTCTGCCCTATTTCCTTGCTGTCTTACCCTCATATTGTTCCGACTTCCTGCAGCCCCTGTTGAGGCCATTTGGGATAACGGGAGGAGCGTCACCCCTTAAACCTGATACTTCCCGGGAGGCTGTTACTTGTCCCGATGAGAAGTTTTACTAGGACTTTAGTGTCCCAACCAGTTTTGTTTCTTCCCTCTTCCCGTCTGTTTCCTATCTGTTCCCCCAAGTCCCATCGGCTTCTAGAAACCAATTCCTTTTCCAACCTCTCCATGCCCCCAAAGTTCTGGATTCTCCGTTTCCGTCATTCGGCTTTCCTGAGCTCACCGCTTCACTGTGCTAGCTTTCCAAGTGCAAGGGTCGCTCAAGGGAGGTTTTAAATGGGTCGGGCCTATAAGTGGTGAACATCTTTCAAACCCACGTTTCTTTGGCCAGAACAACTCACAGGGACCCACCTGTGTACCACGGGGCCCTGGGAAAACGCAGTCTTCTTGTGAGCCCAGGAGAAAAAGGAGACGTTCTAGTGAGCACACAGCTTTCTCACGGTGGAGGACAGAGGGAACAGCGAGGGGTGACCTCGGGGCCATCCCCTTTGACTGTTCTTTGTGTGGATGCTCACAGATCTCCACCCTGCTTCCCCAGTGCCCAGGCACAGAATGCCCTCAGCCTCTGCAGTTTCTAGCATTCTCCTGCCCTGACTGGGAAGAGGCACGAGGCAGCTTTCTGAGGAGATGGTCACATTCTACACCTTGACAAGGAGGCTGAAGGGTACGCATTGGTCGAAACTCGACGCGTGCGTGAGAATTAAGATTTCTGCATTTCATTTCACGTAAATGTCCCCTCAAAAGAAATGGCAGCTGAAAAACAAGCACCGAACCCTAGTTAAGGCGAGGCGGGCTGACATGTTGCAGAAGGAGGTGCAGTGATGTCTGAGGTCTATTTTGCACTAAAACTTGGACGGATGGAAGGGGGGAGGCGAACGCAAGGGTGGGGAGATGGCGACAGGAGTCTAGGCGGCTAATACGCAGCCGGCCATTCACTGGGACAGTCCAGCTTTTTCCGTGCTTAAACATGTTAATAAGAAAATGTTGATAAATTAAAAAAACTGCAAAATGGAGGCACCTGGGTGGCTCAGTGGGTTGAGCGTCCGACTTCAGCTCAGGTCACGATCTCGCGGCTCGTGAGTTCGAGCCCCGCGTCGGGCTCTGTGCTGACAGCTCGGAGTCTGGAGCCTGTTTCGGATTCTGTGTCTCCCTCTCTCTCTGTCCCTCCCCTGCTCGTGCTCTCTCTCTCTCTCAAAAATAAACATTAAAAAAATTTTTTTAACTGCAAAATGGAAGAGGACGAGAGGAAGGTGAAGCACGCTATGTCATCGGTGCTGGCACGCTAGGCCTGATGGGAGGGGTTTGGCCCCTCAGAGCTGCTGGAGGGTGAGGAGGAGAGAGGAGAGGCCTGTGGAGGGCCCGGGTTTCGCTGGGTGCAGCTGTTCGCAAGCCAAGAGCCGCGTGGAGCTCGAACTCACAAACCCCAAGATGAAGAGTCCCATGCTCTTCTGACTGAGCCACCCAGGCACCGTCTTGGATCATTTCCTTCTCCTCGTGAGCCCTGCAGCGGAGGGTGAGGGCTCCTGGAGGTTGGAAGAGGGACAAAGACGTGGAGGAGTTTTCTCTGAGATGCCAGCAGAGCTGGCTGGGGACAGTGGGGTCCGCCTGCAGCTGGGAGGCAGCCCTGGCCGCGGACCGAGCCTGGCAGTCCTGGCCTGGCCTCTGTGACCATGCCCTGGCCCCGCAGCACCGCGCGGGCCCAGGGCTAGCTTTCGTGGGGCCCAGGATGGCCGGATGAGGACATGGACATGGGAGGGGACACGGGCACAGCAGTTGAGGGCATCGGATGAATGTGCCTGTAATGACAACTGTGACTTTTTTTTTTTTTTTTGATTTTTTTCTTTAACTTACATCCAAATCAGTTCGCATCTAGCGCAACAATGATTTCAGGAGTAGATTCCTTAGCGCCCCTTACCCATTGAGCCCATCCCCCCCTCCCACCACCCCTCCCGTAACCCTCCGTTTGTTCTCCATATTTATGAGTCTCTTCTGTTTTGTCCCCCTTCCTGTTTTTGTATTATTTTTGCTTCCCTTCCCTTATGTTCATCTGTTGTGTCTCTTAAAGTCCTCGTATGAGTGAAGTCATACGATATTTGTTTCTCTGACTCATTTCACTTCGCATAATACCCTCCAGTTCCACCCACGTCGTTGCAAATGGCAAGATTTCATTCTTTTTGATTGCCGAGTGATACTCCATTGTGTATATATACCACATCTTCTTTATCCATTCATCCATCGACATTTGGGCTCTTTCCATACTTTGCCTATTGTCGATAGTGCTGCTAGAAACACGGGGGTGCGTGTGTCCCTTCAAAACAGCACACCTGTATCCCGTGGAGAAATGCCTAGAAGTGCAGTTGCTGGGTCCTAGGGTAGTTCTGTTTTTAGTTTCTTGAGGAACCTCCATACTGTTTCCCAGAGCGGCTGCACCAGTTCGCATTCCCAGACAACTGTGAGTTCTGAACTGGGCAGGGAGGAAAGGAGAGGAGGGGCTGATGGCCAGCACGAAGGGGGTGGTGGGCAGCTTGGAGGACCCGGATGCAATGTTCTGTTGAGGGGGGACCGCAGGAAAGGAACCACAAGGTGGGGAGGGAGTGGGCTGGGAGGGGGAAGCCTGGGTGGCTCTCTTGGAGGCACTGGTAACAAGAAACAGGTGGTGGGATGGGCGGCTGCTGAGGGGCAAGGCCAAGGTCGTGGCAAGGGAGGAGGCTGAGGAAGAGGCCAAGTCGTGGGAAGGGTCATCTGCGTAGGTGGTGAAGTTGTCACGATTAGCTGGAGGGGCGCCTGGGTGGCTCAGTCGGTTGAGCGTCCCAACTCTTGATTTCGGCTCAGGTTGTAACCACACCGTCAAGGGATGGGGCCCTACGTCGGGCTTTTGCTCTGGTAGGATGGAGCCTGATGGGAATTTCTCTCTTTCCCTCTCTCTCTGCCCCTTCCCCACTTGTGATTGCCCCCCCCCCCCTCTCTCAAAATAAACTTAAGAAAAAAGAATAGCCGGAGAAAAAGGCCGAGGGCAAGGTAGTCAGGTCTCTGGTGGACGTCAGTCCTGGGGGCTGGGACACGAAGGCGGAAATGCTGCTGGGAGCCAGGACGAAGCTCATCTCTGGGCCCGTGGGACGTGGCGTGTGGCAGCAAAAAGACACCGTTTAAGAGGGCCGTGAGCATAAGCGGCCAGGACTTGTTAGGGTGCGGGGGGAAAGAGTGTGGCCAGGGACAGTGCGGGTTTCAGCACAGGACAGAGGTGGAGGGAACTTTGCATTCAGAGAAGCGGCTCAGTATCCTAGGAATTTTGCTGACGACAGACCACACGTTCCAGAGCACACAGGGAGCTGGGGGCTGGGGCCGGGGGTGCCCGGGCAGCACAAAGTTCTGGTGCAGAGAGAACTGAGTGAGGCAAAGGACAGAACGGGGTCCGCTTAGTAGTGTCGGAGGCCAGTTTCCAATTGCAGGGCAGCGTGTAGGGGCGAGGCTGGTGGCCTTCAGGCCGGGAGCCAGGGGGTTACCAAGAGCTGGGCGCAGGCACTTTGCGGCTTCCCTTAAATCAGGCCCACGCAGCGCCAGGCGGTGAGGAACCCCGGGCGAGCTCTGGCTCCCGTCCCCAGGCTGAGGGCAGGCTGGGTGACCACCAAGCCACGGGGACCTGTGCGTTGAGAGGGCTCAGCTCCCACAGTGCGGGCTGCTGGGCTGCACGGCGCACCCTCCTGTCCCGTGGGAGACCAGAAAGCTGGGATTCCGGCGCCTCCCCGCCTCTGGGAGGACTGCAGCCCCATCGTCTGGGCTGCGGGGTTGGGGGCCAGCAGAGGGCAGGCCGGGAGGCCTCTCCTTGCAGCTCCTACCGACGGGGCTCTGTCTTCTTGCCAGGGGAAGCAGGCGGTCACGCCCCACAGCGGGCACTGTGGCCGGGCACCCAGCAAGCCCGCTGCGCGACGCGGAGGAGGCCCTCGGCCTTGGGGACACACCTGTGTTAGGGATGAGCGTGTTGAGGCGAAGAAAAGGCCGCACAGCCACGAGTGGCAGAACCGGGCTTGGAGCGAGGCTCACAGCCTAGGTGGCTGTCCCGCCGGCCGTGCCTCTCTCGGGGCAGCTTCAGTCCCTTCGCCGTACAGGGTCGGGGGAGGGGCCAAAGGGGAGAGGAGGCAGCTCCAGGCCCAGGTTCTGTGAAAAGGTGATGCTTTATTATATAAAAACCTCCACCCACCCCCTTTCCCAGTCCCACGAGGCCACGCGTCAAGCAGATGTATCCGAGGCCAACTCTCTGGAAGGACAACCTGCTTTGTCTGAGGACGGCCGGTCTGGCGGGCGGGGCCTGGTCCGGTGGGCGGGGGTAGGGGCTGGGTGCCTTCACAGGGGGCGTCCTGGCGGTGGGCTGGGCCCGGAGACGCCCACCTGCGTGTCAGAAGGCCCAGTGTCGTAGCCCAGCTTCCTCATGTCCTTGGTCACCACGTTGAAGAGGAGAGTGACAAAGCCCTGAGAGCGGACGCGGGTCACTGGGAAGAGAAGGGCAGCATCAGCTGGGCTGCTTTGGGAGTCTCTCGGCCTCAGCGTTTTCTCCTGTAAAATGGGAATGACTGCCGGGCCCGTGCCCTTCCCTGGGAGGTGCTCTGGGGAAATGCCTGGGCCCTGCCCCTGCACTCCCTCTGCGTGCCTGGCGGGTCTCTGGCTTCCACCCTGTTGCGTGGGGGTCTCCCCAGTCTCTCCCAGGCTCCAGCTTGCCTGTGGGGTGGGGGTGGGGTTGAGGGGATCAAGCTTTACCTTCCCGGCCTTCACCCTGAGCCACCACCTTGGGGTCTGTGTACTCGGGCCGCCGTCCCATGAACCAGCTGGAAGACAGGAGACCCTGGGTGAGCAGATCCTTTGCCTGGCCATCCCTCAGCCCTGAGACATGGGCTCTCCCCCTGCTGCAGAAACCAGCAGCCCTCCTCCAAGCCCTGTCCTAGGGCTGGACCCTGGGCACAACCTTCCCACGCCACCTCCCTCTGCCCGGGAAGGTGAGTCTGGGTGCCATGTGTGGCTTCCAGCAGGCGTGTGGGGCTCTGTGCCCCACCCCTCCTCAGCTGGATGCCGGGCTTTCCTATCACAGTCACCCATGGATTTGAGGGACATGTGGGGTGGGGGCACGGTGGGAACCCAAGTGGAAATCCCAGAAAGAGGACGGCAGCATGATGTGACGCCCCCCCCCCCCCCCCCCCCAAACTGGGGGTTAAGCATCCTTGGGGGGGGCAGAGGGGCCAGACCTGGGCTCTCCACTTTCCTCTCAATGGTGTGGGATCCCGTGCAAGTCACTTGCCATGTCTGAACCCTTGAGCCCCAGTGCCTCTCACCTGTACCTAATGGTACCTAGCTCCCCAGGCTCTAGGTGAATGCACTCTGTCAACTACCATGAGAAACATTAGCCCTCCTATTTATGCCTCTTGCATAAATGCACCTGCCCCAAGGGTGGGCTTGCTTTGGGGTGACAGACACGATCACCTGACTCCGCAGTCACTGATGTGAGGGGTGCACACTCAGTGCCAGGGACCCTGCCATGCCCACTGTCCACCTGCCCCTCACAGGGGCCCTGGTCTGTAAACCCCCGCCTGTCAGAGGCTAAGGGCGGTGTGGTGACATGCCCAAGGCTACAGGCAGGGAGGTGAGGCGGGGCCTCCCCTCCGTCCCAGTTCAGCCGGCCAGAGCCTCACCTCCAACACATGCATTCAGGCCGGGAAACCCTCCCGGGGCCCATTCCCGACCGGGTGGGCCAGGTGTCCCATGCAGGAGCGCTTCCAGCCTGCGTTCTGGGGCCCGGCTGGTGGCAGGGGGGACCAGTGATGTAGCTGTGGGTGGTGGGCTCCCCACAGGGAAGGAGGCCCCTCTATCGGTCCAGGCCCAGGTTCCGGCATTCCCAGAGCAGGCTCTGCCCTGCCTCCCGCTACAGTGGCCTGCACTCCGCCCCAGCGAAGCCACCCTTCCCGAGCAACACCCCTCCAGCTCCAGCTGGAGTCACCCCTTGGCCCAGGCCACCCCGACTGAGCCAGCCCTGGCCCCCAGCCCACCGGCTGCTGCCCAGGGGAGGAAGCAATGCCTGCCCCCTGCTGTCTGCAGCTCCAGTGACACCCAGTAAGGCGCTCACTGGCTCCCAGCTGAAAAAGAGAGAGAGAGAGAGAGAGAGAGATGGGAGGCAGACTGGGAAGCCAGGGTTCCAGCCAGGCCTGGATGGGCGTATCGCCACTTCTCTGTGCCTCAGTGTCTCCATCTGAGGAGTGGGGCTGTGCACCTCGCAGGCACAGGAAGCAGCCACCACGAGCGTGGCACACCCTGAGCACCCATACCCAGAGCTACCAGAGCCAGGGCGTTGCTTCCTCTCCTGAGGCGCAGGAGGGCAGATGGTTCAGGGTAGGGTTGAGCGCCCGTCCAGGCAAGGGCCTGAGGCAGGGAGGGCTGCAGGGGGCTGGAGGAACCAAGTCAGAGGGCACGTGCCGGCAGGGGAGAGGGCCCAAAGGCAGCAGGGCAGGAGAACGCAGGGCCTCGCAACATCCTAGCTGAAGTTAACGGTAAATGCAGAGATATGCTCGAGTGGTTTCTAAAGCTGTTTTAGAAAACCATTTTTGTTGCTACGTGAAGACTAGGTGGGAGGCGCTGTCATAGGCTGGATAATGGCCCCCAAGATATCAGGTCCTAATCCCTGGAACTTGCAAATGTGACCTTATTTGGGAAAAGGACCTTTGCATGTGAGATTAAGGTGAGGATCTTTAACGTGGGGAGACTGTCCTGGATTATCTGGATGGACCCTAAATGCCATCACCAGTGTCCTAAGAGATGCGGAGGGAGATGTGACACAGGGGAGGAGGTGACACGTGAGGTCATACACGTGACTGCAGAGGACACTGGAGCAATGCAGCCACAGCCACCAGGAGCGGGAAGGGGCTGGGAACAGATTGTCCTCTAGAGTCTTGGCGGGGGGGGGGGGGGGGGGGGCGGGGGGAGCGCGCCCTGCCTGGTACCTTGATCGCAGCCCAGTGATACTGACTTTGGACCATGAGAAAAAAATGTCTGTCATTTAAGCCTCGAGTTGGTGGTGATTGGTTACAGCAGCCCAGGAAACTAATACGGGGCTGAGTGGGCCGGGCCAGGCCAGGCCAGGCGGCCGCGGAGGCAGGAACAAGAAGTCTCCTGCAGGAGCAAAGGCCACTGGGAGCCAGTTACACGCCGGCCTCCACGCGCGCCGGGCCATGTCTGGGAAGATTTTGATCAAACCGCCTTCGCTAATCAGACCTTCCTCCGGTGTCTGCAGTCCAAGCACACGCGGCCTTCCCCAGAGGAGACGGTCCCCTGCCCCGAGCTGCTGTCCCTGGGGCACCGGCAGAAACTTCGCCTGCCGTGTGAGCCGTAAGGCCTAACTTCCTCAGCAACGAAACCCTTTCCTCAGAGGGCCCTGGCCCTGAGACCCAGGCTGCCCTCAGCGTGGCATGAACACCCCGGCCCCGGGCAGCTGTGTGGGCTCAAAGCCCTTAACCTCCCGGGACCCGCCGATGGGCACCGCCCCCACCTTCCCGACGGTCCCACGGGGCGGGTGGCGTCCTCTCTAGCTTCCGCTGGCCCAGGGCACCGGCTAATAAGCCCCTTCCCGTCACGGTGGCCTCCCAGAGGGCAGGGGGCACCCCAGTTCACCCCTCCCCCGGGACCCAGAACTCAGGGAGGCCTCCCTGGCTCAGGTCCAGTGCCGTCCCTCCGCGCAGCAGGGCTCCGGCCAAGGCTCACCCCGACCGGCCAGGCCTGCCGGGGGCTGCTCGTCGGCTGCCACCCGGGGAGCCAGACGGTCCTCCATCCCCCCACGTCGTCCTGCCTGTGAGCAGAGGGCCCAGGGCCCGCTCCTGGCTGAGCTGGCGGGGAGCAGGGGCGGCTGGCCGCCGCGCTAAGCTGACAGGAGCTTCTGGCCCCGACCTCGAGTCGGCCGGCCCTCCGAACTTCGACGCGGAGGCGGTGAGGGGCAAGAGGCCTGGGCCCGGTCTCCCCCACATCCGTGCGCCAGCCCCCCTGCCTCCCGGGTGTCCCCCACCCCACCCCGCACCACCACTTACCAGCGACACCCCGTCCTTGCCGCTCCTCACACATGAAGCCCGTGGGCCTTGCACATGCGGTCTTCCTATGTCTGGAACATTCCTTCCCCACATTGCCCACCCTGGCCCTTACCTCTGCTCTAGTCTCTGCACAGATGTCACCCCCTTGAAGAGGCCCCGCTGTGAGGCATTTCCTGACGGAAACTGCCCACCAGGAGTATCGGTGCCGTTCTGTTCGGCTCTTACTGCTGTACCCTCCCGCGTCCTACCTTTTTAACGTCATATTATGCCACGAGCATTTCCCCATCTGCTCTGCTCTGACCAAAGGCTGTTAACACGGCCCAGGGTAATGGCGCACGGCCTTACGCGGCTGGAACGGTGGCTGAAGGGAGCCCAGCGACCCCCGGAAACCACACAGCCCCCACTTCCATTTGTCCCCAAAGACAGAGCAGCAGGAAGATGCGACGAGGTTGCCCGGCACAAGTGAGGGGGGGACCGTGACAGCCCTCCCTGCGCCCCCCCTGCTTAGGTCAGAAGGAGGGGCTGGAGGCGACGCGTACGAAACTCACCTCGTAAACTTTTGCAGTTTAGACGTGGATTCTGGGACAAACATGGGGATGGTCCTTTTGTGCCTGAAACAAATGTTTTCACAGACACGTGTGCCGAGTCACAGAAGAGTGACGAACTTCCTGAGCCTCCCTCGAGCAGGAGCTGTCAGACGGGCGGTGTCAGGTCAGCGGCAAGGCCAACCCGTCCAGCTGGCAGGGGCCACACCCACCGGGCCCGGGCTGGGTGCTGAGCGCCGGGAGGCTGAGGTGGGGAGAGCGGGCCCGGCCTCTGGGAGGCCAGAGGCCCCGCGAGTCTTGTTTCTTTCAAAGGGTCAGGAGGATACAGAGGGCTACAGCCGTCCGGCCTGGGGTCCCGGCTCACGCGCCCCTCAGAGGCTCCGGCCTCCACACGTCCAAAGGTGCCGCCACCTCCACGGCCCAGTTTGGACGCCCTTCCTCCGGGAAGCCCCTGAGAATCCCCCCGACCTTCCCCGCCGTGGCCACCTGCCCCAGGCCTGCCCCTCACACCCCGTCCCCCACTCCTCTCCACACACCTCCCCTCACGTCTTGCACTTTCTGTCTCGGCAACGAGACTCCTCAGGGCATTTGGTGCCCACCGTCCCTCCATCTTCCTCCACCATCTCCAGACAAACTCCCGTCCTCTGGGCCCCAGAACACGCTGTGTCCATACCCTGTCACCGTGCTTAAGAACACGGTCGCTCCTCTCCATCTGTGTCTACTAGTCTGGGGGCTTCCGAGGAAGGGCCCAGGTGATCACACTAACGCCAGCAGGGCCGGGCACAGAAGAGGGATTAGCAAGAGCTCGCGGGACGCTGAGTGGCACGGAAAGAGAGGCGTGGATGGAGTCTGAGCCGCAGCCCCAAACTGCCTGCGAACTCTGTCGCTGGGCCCAGCCCCTCGCAGGATATCCCCCGGTGCTTCCTGCCGGGGCCTCTGACACTCCCCCCACCCACCCGCTGTCTCGGGGTGGGGGGTGGGGGAGGCAGCCCTAGCTTCACCCGTGTGGGTCTCCTTCCAGATATGGGCTCTAACCTACAGCCCCCAAGCCGAGTTGCCCAGGCGCCTGGGGACCCCAGTGCATCCCCAGCCTAGAGGTGACATCCGTCCCAGGAAAAGGCCTGCTGGGGGTGCCCTGGTTCTCAGCCAGCACGGCCCAGCAAGGGAGGGACTGCGGCCCAGGGACCAGTCAGAGCCAGGACCTACCTGCCGGGCGAGAAAGGCAAGTGCACTGCCCCATAGCCTCGAACCACATCGTTCCCAAACACGTCT